CCCTATCATTCTATCAGTCTCTCTCTGTCAGTTTCTGTGTGGCCATCTCTCTTTCTCTTCTCATCTTCAAAATATTTATTTTATTTTAATATTTTAAAGCAAAGTATTTTCTTGACTCTCAGATCCTCCTTTATCTTCCTAATAGTCTGCCCATTTAGGAGAGGCAAAAAAACGCAGGCCTTCAGAAGAAGACTGAGTCCTCTGAGGAAGCTGAGAACTAGTGTTTTTGCATGGTGCAGGATTTTCACTTTTTGTCTTTTAAAAGAAAGAAATACTTCCTTTCCTTTTTTACTCTCTCTCTTTCTCTGTTTTCTTATCCTTTCTCTTTTACCTCATAACTTTGCTGTTCAGCCTCTACGCACTGAGTGCCTAGACAGGTTGAAGTGAACCATAGCCAAACGTCTAAGTACTATTAGAGTCAACATATTCCTCAGTTCCCACTGAATCTGCCATACACAGGGAGAAAAACGAAACAGCAAAGAGTTTGCAGAGCATCTTCTCCTGCACACTTCTGAACACTCACATTGAACTTCTAGAAATTAGGAAGAAACGAATAACCCATCAGATGACTAGAAATCAGCACAGAGGCACAAAAAAATATGAGAAACCAAGAAAATATCTCTCCCCCAAGGGAAAAGAATAACTCTTCTTTATCCATGGACAGTACAATGGAACTCACAGAAATGTCTGACAAAGAATTTATAAGATTCATAGTGACAAAGCTAACAGAGACAGAAGAGATGAGAGACGGTGAACTCCAGAAGAGGCAGGAGAAAATAGCTTGACAATTTCGAGGAATTGAGGAAGTTCCTACGAGATCTGAGAAAGACGAAATACTTGCCATTAAAAAAAGACAAAAGTGAAACTGTTAGAGATGAAGGCTATAATACAGGATGACAAAACCCTCCCTTGAAAGGATTAGAAGCAGACTAGATCATACAGAATATCGAATCTCAGACATAGAATTGCTGGAGTAGAAACAAGCATCCCAAAGACTGAGAAAATAGCCCAAGATATGAGAAGAATATATGAGAAACACTAGATATAATTCAATGTATAAACGTGGATAATCTGTATCTCAGAAGGTGAAGAGACTGATAAGGCCATTGATAATAGATTCTATGAAATACTGGAAGAAAACTTTCTAAACCTAGAGAGACAATCAAAGGTCCAGACCCAAGAAATACAAAGGACCCCAAATCCCATCAAACCAAGAAGATCTATTCCAAGACACATCATAGCCAGACTGATGAAAACCACAGAC